TCCTCTATTCCGATGCTCTCTTTGTGTGGGACTCCCAGAACCAAACTTGGTGCTCCCGGTGTATCCTTACCTGAGAAGCTGGAGTTGTTCCCTCCCTTGCAAAGCCACCACAGCTCTGTGCATGTGGTTTCATTAGTTTCAGCAGCCCTGTTTCTGCTAGCCTATGCTAATCACCACAACCCCCAGAACTGACCTGGGACCAAACCAAGTCTCCCTGGTCCTGTATAATTCTATGTGTTATTTCTCTTTATTTTAGCCCCTTGTTCTTATCTACTGCAATCTTTCTGAATACAACCCTGCCTTGGGCCCATCAGCTGCAAATCCCTGCTGGCTTTGTGTCAGCTGCAAACTGGATATGCTGGGTATCTATCCAAAGCATAAAGAACAAGGGTACCCAGGACAAAACCAGAGACAAGGGTCCATCCTGGCTAAAGCGGACTCACCAGCCCTCAGTGCCAGACCACTGGACTCCTTACTGTTCCGTTTCAGGCCTATCTCAGTTCCTACCAGACTTTCACACTTGCAGGCTCCCAGCTCCCCTGCCCACAACTCCACAACTCTCCTTACAGAGGACACTTCCTCCTACCCTGCTTGCCCTGCCCTAGGCAGGGCCAGCCTTTTAACATTACTCTTCTGTCTCAAGCCTAGGTTGCCCATGTCCCCAGTTCCTAACAGCATGAGACAGAAGCTGTGGGCTTCTGCCTCATCAGCTCCCAACTCCTAGACACCCCGACCCCCTAAAACACAAGCTAAGTACTAAAAACAAGATGTTTGCCAAAGATTAAACTATCTCTAAGGAAAGCCAGCTCCATAATGAAGCCGGAGTTTGCTTTTTCTTATATGTCCATCTTTTCCCCAGCCCCAATTCAGACAGATTCTCCTGCAGGATAAGGGGTTCTTCAAGAACAAGGCTGTTTTCCTGAGACCCAGACTCCTGGAAGAGGCCATGCTACCACAATTAGAGTGGACAAATAACATCACCCCATCCACAAAAGGGTGACTGGAGCATGGGGGAGGTTTTTCACACCAAGGTTAGTCCTGGAGTCAACGTAAACCCGGGAGTCAGAGCTTCACTGTCTACTCTAGCACAGACATGTATGTGGCCTATCACTAGCCACCTGGTCTGTGGGCACAGCTAGAAGACACAACTCAACCCAACGGATAAAGACATGACTTGGCATCAAAATACCTTGCCTGTGGCACTTCTCAGCTCTGTAACCTTGGCTAAATCACTTAGCCTCTCTGAAGTTTCTCTTCACATTTAAATAGACATAACTGGTACGTATATGACAGATGTTTTGGCAAGAATCAAGTGGGATAACTGTAAAAGGTCTTTGAAAACCGTAACACGTTATACATTTCTCTTTATCATTATAACAAGGGGTCCGATATGAGAGTGTGAGAGGGGCCTGCCCAAGACCCGAAAGAGGGGACAGTGAATGTTTTTGGCTTTTAGACCAGGTAGTAAGCAGACCTTCGCCACGTGAGGCCTCAAATCACCCAGGACTGATCAAGCACCATCTCTGGGGGTTAAAAACAGAAATGAAAGCCCATCAGGGGGAAGGTGGAGATTCAAGAAAACCGCAATTCCAGCTAGAACCTGGTATCCTTTCTCATAAAGAGTTAACCCTTGACTCATTCCCTGCAAGAGTCCATATTATGGTTTAAGGGACAATTTCCCATTAAACCATAGCTTTCCCAGTAGGCAGGGATATCGTCTCCTATTTCTAACAGGCTGGAGTGAAGTGTGACATACTGGCTGTATGGCATGCCTAACATAAGGCACAGAAATATAAGTGTATGTTCACTGGGCATTTGGAGGCTTAATGAGGCCCAGGGGCCACCCATCCCTCCCATGCAAGTGTCATTTTCCCCAGCTTAAGTCCTTGACCCAAAATAGATTCACATGAGTCACTGGGGAAAGACCTACTTCCCATTTACCAGTGATATAATCCGTTTCTGTGACCATCTACTCCACTGGACTGTGAGCTAGTTGCTGAAACCTTTCTACAGTTTTTGTCTCTATATGTGTTGAAATATACAATCCAGCCTTAGAGGTAACCAAAAAGGCAAGTGGCCAACAACTTGAGACTTCATGCTTGAAAAGGTCTTCCCCTCCTCAAAGGAGGTCAGGCAGGCAGGGCAAGGATTTAAGTGTGGCAGGAAGTTAGAATACACCAAGAGGAAGAGACAGAATTTAAAACTGTACAGGCCTTCCCAGCCTAATCCTTTCTGCAAAAGGATCAGATCTACAGCCAAATTCCCAGGACAAACACCCTTCTAGCTAGAGGAACCCCTGAGGCCCCAGGTAGGGACTGCATTGAGGCAGGTCAAACTGAGCTCCCCAGCCCACCTCTCTTTTCCCCCCAGTCTAGCCAAAGCTAAACCCGATTTGTTGCTTTCCAAGTTCCCACACGTCCTGATGTCCTCACTGTGTCTATTAAAACCTTCATTGATCAACTCAAATGACACCAATTTCCATAGGCCTTCTCTGACCCCAGATCAGCAGTGACCTTCCTTCCTCAACCCCAGGGATTCAGAGTATACACAGATTCCTGATTCATATCGGGTCACTCTAACTCAGAGCCTCAGCTTACCCACCTCTACAATGGATTCACAAAGCTCGCTAATACAAAACACAGAGAAGGAAGCTGGGAAGAAAGTGCTTCCCCGAGACCTAGGCTGAGGATCCTTGAAGTTGTAAAGATCTGAAG